GTGGTATGAAGGCTTTCTCTTTGGTTTAGGTTGGGCAGTCATCTGTAGTCATCCTGAAATTCAGGTGTAAGTTGAGGACCAGGGAGCAGTTACCTCTCTGGCAGAGCAGATCTAATTGTGCAAGTGTGTTGGTGGGAGGGCGGGGGTGGGGCGAAATGGGGAGGAGATGGACATTGGCACAAACTCTTTGAAGAAGATATTGTGTCTTACTGTTATATTTGCACGTGTTCTTAAAATAGCGGCAGGATGCTTTTTTTCCCCTTAAATGAAGGGTAAGCCCTAAGGTTCAGGAAGGGAAGCCCAGCCATCAGGGAGGGCATATCTGATACATTGTGTCTGTTTTGCTTCAAGATGGACTGCTGTATTAATTTGCTCATAATGCCATACCGAAGTAGCCCCGGTGTCTTCACAGAAATTGGTTTTCTCACAGTTCTGGAGGTTCGAAGTCCAAGATCGAGGTCTCAGCAGCATTGGTTTCTTCTCAGGGCTGTGAGGGAGGAGTCTGCTCCAGGCCTCTCTCCTTGGCTTGCAGGTCTTTGTCTTCTCCCTGTGTCTTCACATCCTCTTCTCTCTCTACCTGGTCTGTGTCCAAATTTCTATTTTAATAAGGACACCAGATATGTTGGATTGGGGCCCACCCAATGACCTCATTTTAATCTAATTACCACTTTAAAGACCATATCTTAAACTGTGGTCACATTCTGAGGGACTGGGGGTTAGGACTTCAACATACAAATTTGGGGGATACACAGTGCAGCCCGTAACAATGATACAACAGTACACGCACGTCACAGAGTTTCTATTACCCTAAAGTAATGAATGTACACTGGCTAAGTTGTAAGTGATAAATGAGTCTTGAATTAATTATGGTACATTTTATGGGAATTGGGGATTACTTTGTGAGTTGAAGAAATATGTAAAGTCAGCCCAATGTCTAATATTGGTCCTCGGTTCCAACTAAGTGGCTTTGAGGAGTGCGAGAGTCTTTGAAAGTGGCTCCCTGTCATCGTCTAAACGGAAGATGTTGGCATGCCTCGATCGGGGAGGTTTCCAGTGGTCCTCCTCTGCTTGTACAACAAGCTGCCTGATTCCTCGGGGCCTCCCTGGACCACAGTAGTGTTGGTTGGTGTGCTCAATGGCAGGTGCTTAGACTTTCTTCCGGTAATATAAACTGCAGAAACCTCTATTTAGAAGCAGAAGTAGGTGTGGACTACTGACTCTTCACTCTCCACCTATGCCAATGATCTATCTGCAGCATAAGTCAACCTAAGCCACTTGAAATTACTACGGTAGCAGACATGCTAAGGAAATACATTCTGTCTGGCCCAAAGTAATTACAGACTCTCTTCTTGCTGGAATGACCCACATTCCAGGCTTCCTCCCAGTGAATGTGGAACAGTGCTGGCCCTTAATGGAACTGCACAGGAATCAGTCTTTAGAGCTTCTTATCTCTCATCTTTGCTACAACAACCTTTCCTTACCTACTCAGTGTCCTCTGGCCTTCTGATGCCCAAAGTGGCCCAGTACTTCCAAAATCCTTCTAGCTACTTCTCTCCCCAATGAGAGCACTCTGCTTCAAACATTAAAGATGATCTAGGCTCACCCACCACTTCTAATTAAGTTTCTTCTATGTCCCTAGCTCTTCTGGAATGTCTCAAATGATAGGAAACCCACTGTCAGGGAAACAACTCATTTCATTTTTGAAAAAGCTCCAATTTTTAATAACAATCTTCCTTTTTTTTTTTGAAGCATGATTTTTGCTCTGTCTAAATCTCACACATCATTCCTAGTTTTCTCTCAATCTGTTATACTCGATCACTTGAATCCATCTTCGGCTTGACTGCCATTGCACATCTGAAGACAGCTGGTATACCTGGCCTGAACTTCTATACCTCAGGTTAGGTGAAAGCATACCTGACATCTGCAACCATAATTTTGGGTGCCATTCTTAGGCCCTTCGCATTTGGGTCTTAGTGCTCTGAGTGGATCCTGAAGACTACTAGAGGATAAACACCAAAATGTGCTGAGCTTCTTCCTCGCCTTTCATGGCTCAGATCAAATGCCCCTTCTCTGCAAAGCCTTCCTTGATGCTACTCAAATACCAGGCAATGAGCAGCTTTTCTCCTGGTGTTTCCCACCACTTCGTACTTTACTTTGCTATCACACTCACCACAGCGCATCATAACTATTGATTTACATTTTTTCTCTCCTGCTGTCTTGTGAACCTCTCTTGGATTAGGGACTCTGTCTTAATTTTACTGTATCCTCCATTCCTGGCTCAGAATAGAGGATTTATGTTTATTGGTTGCTTTGCTGATGCAAGAAACCAAAGTTAGAATTCCAGATACCATGGCTAGTCAGAAAGGGAAATATCTTTGTTCAGGGAGATTTTTCATGTTTTTCAGATCAGACCCTTTGGGGGACATTCTGGATGATTTATATTTAAGTTATCCAGCCAGACTGAGAGATTTGCGGGAGTAGAGAGTGTAGCATGGCACACCTCTGAGACTTCCTGGATGCTTCTTGATGTTCCAGCCCAAATCGTGGCTCGTAGCCTTCGTGTCAAATTATATACCCAGTTTCTCCAAAAGCCCACCCCAGTTCATGAAACTCAACATTAGCTTTATTTTTTCTTTTCATTGAGGGAAGATTGATCATCAGGCTTGCTTGTTTACTTTTCTAAGAAGAGGGTTGCAGGCCACTGTTACCAAGGAATGATTCCTTCCCAGGAAGAACCAAACGTATCAGACCAAAACATACCTCCTCTCTCCTAAGGCACACCTTTTCTAAAAGGACTTTTTTTTTTTTTTTGCCAACTTGCTGTATGCTTTGCTTGCTTGCTGATAGTATGTGAACATAGTCCTGGGCATCTTTTAAATCCTGAGTGCACCGGGAGCAGGTCTCAGACCTTCCTGAGATAACACCTTCTCTCCAACCAATAAATGGGACAAGAGAATTTGAACCTGGCTCTGTATCTTCAGGGCAAGTTTATTAAGATTCTGTTGTGACTGAAATATGTTCTTCAAGGGCTGGGAAGAGTTCATTTTGTTCATTTTCTCAAACCTCTTTTCTATGGTGGCTTCTGTTTATTTGCCTATCCCAGATAACAGATATCTATGGAACTGTTTCTAAAAAAGAAACTTTAAAGTTTGCTCTCACCCCAATCCATGACCAGTTCTTATCAGCGACTACCTTTCTATTTTAATATTTTTGACCAAGTTCACTATTTGAAAGGTGACCTGGTAGTTTACGACACCTCAGGATCTCCCAACAACCCAGCCACGGAGATGCTACTCTGAGTTGAATTGTTCTTCTCCTTTTAAGATCAGATAAGGACAGTTTCTATAGTAAACTTGCATGTTCATGGAAGATAACTTTGCAGAATTGCCTCATCATTCGGTGTAGCCTAAAAGCAAATTCCCAGGATTAAGTAAATGCAGCGAGAGAGTTTTCCCATCTTATATGGGAATGGGGTGCATGTAGGGAGGGTCATGGTAGATAGCCAAGAGCTTAATTCTAGGTCTGTGGGCCATGTGAGAGAGATTGTTGTCCCACGCCCTGTGTTTTGGATATAGAAATGGGGAACATCAGAGAAATTTGAGGGACAAATGCTAAAAACTAAATAAAGGTCACCCTTTGATGCATGAAATAGGTAATTTAAAAGGCAAAATCATTTCACAATAAATTTTTGGAATTTGAACCTATTTATATTTTCCATTTTAAGTTCACATTACTATCCAAGGAAGACAGCTTCATTGCAAGGATAGTTAAGTACACCTGGGACAGTGTCCTAATTATATGTGGTCAATTTTGTAAAAACCAACAATGACCTCCCCCAAAACTGAGGGGCTGAATCACTATCAGAGATAGAATGGACAAGGACTATGAACCAAGATGCATGAGTTTATTTACTGTGCTGTAAGCTTGTCAGACTTGCCTGATGCTGTTGTAATTCTTAAAGTTGTCGGTGAGGCTCTGCCGACCCACTGGACGGGAGTCCTCTATAGAAGCATGTTCTGTTTCCACCTATATGCAAGGCGTGAGAGGGAGAATGTAGCCCTGAGAATTCAAGACAAGTTTATTAAGATGCATCTGAGCTTGAGGCTCTCATCTGAGGAATCCTGCCATTGGGAGTCAAATGTGGGGGCGGGGGCCCATCCCTGGATGGTTAGTGCAGATTCAGTTGTTAAGGCAAGGAGAGAGGGTGTTGTTTAGTATTGAAATCATGTATTCCAGATGTGGGCATTTGGTAGTCAATCTGCTCTGAAGTGACATACTGCTGAATCTTTAAAGGGCTTCAGCCGGGAAGAGCAAAATCTGATTGGGCAAATTGCTAAAATATTTAAAGTGCAGCCTGTTAAAGCTTTTACTGCGAAGAGCATCACGTCAGAAGTTGTAGTCAGAAAGAGGGAGTAATTGGCTTTCCATCCTCATGCCAGTCAGTCAGCATGAGGCTCTATTCCTATTCCTTCCTCTTCATTGCCAATGCTAATAGCAACCTGTGTGTGTGTGTGTGTGTGTGTGTGTGTGTGCCACATGTGCATGCGCTGGAGAGATCGAATAGCTGGTAAAGTGAGAGGAAGAGGTGTAGTGATGGCCATAAAAAGGGAGGCTGAATCCAAAAAACTGTATGAAGACCATTTAGGAAAAGAGGAGCAGGAGAAAGGCAGAATTATTACACGACAAAGGTCAGCTGCTCTTCCAGCTAGGCGGCGGTGGTTTGGGGCAGTTGTCCATCAAAGGATGGATTCTGTGAGCAAAAGAATGGCCTCCAGTGACAATGACTTCCTCTGCAGCTTTCATCCTCTGAGATGGAATTCAGGGGGCACTTTCCATTTATAATTTATCACATTTTTCACTTAGGTTTTCCTGTCCTTTTCTCCCCAGGCACGACCCCTTGTTAATTCCTGGCAATGATCAGATTGACAACATGGACTCCAACGTGAAGAAGTATGACTCCACTGGGATGTTTCACTGGTGCGCACCCAAGGAGATAGAGAAAGTCATCCTGGTAAGTGAGGGACCGAGGAACCGATGTCGTCCACTCTGGCTCAAACTACATTTGCTGGGAATGAGGTTTTCCTAACTGGATAGTGGGATGATACAGTCCCCTGGTCCTAATTACTTTTGATGATTAGAATTCTGAATATAGATTGAAGCAGCAAGACCTCTGATTAGAACATGAGCCAAGAATTTTCTATCTTTGAATTCTGACTGGCTCATTACAATAGTGAATGACCACGCGTGCTGTGTGAAAGGCATCACGGGAGGCAGGATGTGCCTGGTTCCTGTGGACGTAGCTCTGGGGCCAGAGCCTGCCTGTGCCTTTCAGTAGCCACATGGCCTTCTCCCAACTCTTTGCACTTCAGTTCTCTTATCTGTGAGAAGATGAGATGAAAATGATCCTAACTCATAGGGTTGTTTTGAAGATGTAAACTCAACATATGCCTCAATAGAAGTGCATGTTATTATCCTTATTACTAATGCCATGAAGAAATCTGAATGCTGCGTGTATTATTATCTGTATATAATATGTTTGCATCCTTTCGGATAATGGTCTTGTGCCTTTGTGATTCTTCCTTGCACACAGTGCATTTGCCCAGGATGACAGTGACGAAGCCTGGGGAGGCTGGGGCTCTGAGCCCTGTTTCACGGATGGCCTGTGAGCCTCTCTGGAGCAGCAGTGGGCTTCTCGCAGTCTGTCCCAGGAATGCCAGCATCAACAAGAATCCATTCTTCTCTCTGCACTTGTCCGATTAACAGCTTTAGGTTTTAATGCCTACACCAGCTTTGTTACAGTTTGTTGTCTTGCTAATCCATGAAAAATGGGTTAATAATCAGGAAAGTTAAGAGGAAGGTTCTTCCTCTCTTGCGCCTCTAATGCCAGATTGCTGTAGGGGCTATTCCTTTCTGTCTGCCAGGAGAATCCTATCATTCCTGATGTCAGGACCACCGTTCCTAAACAAGGACTGTTCCAGGTCCTCAGAGCGGCTTTGTGCTTTAATACACTAGATTTTCCTGTGTGTTTTGTCTATGTGCGTGTTTTCTTGACTTAAATATAAACAAGCATGAACGGCCAACACAGCATCATGCTAAAGGCTGTCTCAAAAGTCTGAAAGATGCAGGCAAAAGCACAGACGTCCAGAATTCTCAGCAAACAGCCATTGTCCAACTTAGCAGGAGTGCAAATGGCTCTAGCCATGAAGCTGCTGCATGTATTTACGCTCTGACGTTGTTGTACCCACAACCCTTTTGCTCTGGTGGTCTAAACTCAGCCTGGTGTTACCACCTGTGGCAGGTCATAGGCTGGGTGTCCTATCTGAGATCCATGGTTTTAATAGCTTGTCTAGGTATTCCTGAAGAGTGCATGCCAACTGACATCCCATCAACATCTCCTACTAGCATGAAAAAGTTTAGGGAGGTGAGTTACTACTTCTCTCATCTGAAAAATAATATCATTTAACAAAACATTCATAACAGGCCTACTATGTGCTACACACCATTCTTGTTGCTGGAGGTGCATCGCCTGACAATGACTGCTCTCCTAGAGCTTGGGTACTAGAGGGGGCAAAAAGATCTCCAGGTAGACAGATGAGTACATAATAACATTTCCGATATTGATAAAGTGCTATGGAAAAAATAAAGAATCGCTGTGGGCTAAAAAGGGACTACGAGGTGCTCTTTAGCCACTGTGATCCAAGAAGCCCTCTCTAAAGTGACATTGGAGAAGAGAGGAGGAGGATAGGAAGATGCTTTGGGGTTGGGTGTTCCCACTGGGCACAGACACTAACTGCTTTGGTGATTAGAATATTTAAGAGATGGTCCCAATCTCATGGAAATCACCATGTAAATAGAGAGAAGATATAAAATGTACCCATGAAATAATATATTCATTTATTTTTGGTGGCTGACCAGTACGGGGATCAGACCTTGGACCTTGGTGTTATCCACACCATGCTCTAACCAACTGAGCTGACTGGACAGCCTGAAGTGATATTTTTAATGCTAAGTGATGCAAGGCACAAAGTCCTATCCAAATCTAGGGGAGAATGTCTACTATGTGATTAGGTGGTCAGGGTAGTCCCATCAGATACAAAGAGGGTGTGCTTGGAAGAGATTTAAGGTCATTTAGGCCCAGCTTGGGTTGGGCCTTCAAGGATGCTTAAGAAGCACAGGACACATAGAGAAACACATGGGTGGTTTCTCTAGTGGGTCCTAAACCTGGCGCAGTTGGACTCTCTAGGGCTGAGGCTCAGAGCTTTACAAGGTTCTCCAGGTGATGTTGCTGTGGCTGGTTTGAGGATTGGGTTTTGATCCCCCGATCTAAGCTCCTGGGGTCAGCATCTGTGCCTTGGCCGCTCTACTAACTGGTGACTTCCCCTCCTCCCCATTCTAGATTTCCAGCTTCTACCCCAGACTCAGTTTGCATTCCTCTGGCTTATTGAAGGGAGCTAGCCTCCTGAGTGACTTGGCCAATTAAGAATAATTAGGAGCCCCGTCACAGCACATTCCAGACTGCTTGACTTTCTGCTGGTGGTACCCAGGCACTCACACTTCCACGCGGCCCAGATATCTGAACCCAGGTCTTCTCCATGAAGCAGTGATATGTGATGTGAGCTCCCCAGTGGGTCCCCCTTGGTCACAGTGTATAAGACATTTCTTACAGGCTGTGTCTCAGGTTTCCCTGTATTGTTGCAGAGGGAAACCAATAATGGTGACAGCCCTTGCTTTATTCTAACGATCCGGGAGCTAAAGGTAGCTTCCTCCTCTCCTTGGGGGTTACTGTAATAACCCTGACATTGTCGTGAATTGCAATATTGGCATTTAAACAATCGATACACTGGTCAGTTCTCAGGATTAAATCAAGCAGAGTTTGATATGTGCAGTGGACATTAATATGCCTCTGCCAAAGTGTGGTGAGCCACATGGGGCTACCCAGGCATGCCGTGGGTGGACAGGGAGGAAGGAAGGGAAGGTGGGCTGCATTGGGCCATAAGGAGAGGCAGAGAAGGGCCCACAGCTGGCCTCCTTGTATTGTCCTCTTCCTTAGCACAGCAGTGGCTAACCATCTGCATTTCCTGGAAAGCTGGCGTCCCCTTCTAAAAGGGGTGATTTTATTCTTTCATCTGTTTCCTTTGTAGATCAAGCCTGGAGTTGAGGGAAGACATTGGCCTTTTGCCCTTACTGATCTATCTCCAACCCTAACCCTAACCCTAACCCTAACCCCCAACCCCTAACCCTAACTCTAATTATTAAAAGGGGGTCTTTATTAAAATAAACACCCTTATATTAATTAAGCGTTAATCGTTAATTAATAATTAAATGGGGGGTCTTTGTTAATTAGTAATTAAATGGGGGGTCTTTCTCTGAATGACTTATCTAAGTTGGGCCCCTCCAGGAATGCTCTAGAAACCCCAAGGCAGCATTGGACAGGGGTCAGCATACCTCTTCTGTAAAATGTTGTATAAGGAATAATGTAGGTTTTGTGGGCCATGTGATCTCTGTCTCAACTAATCAATCCTGTTGTTGTAGTATGAAAGCAGCCATAAGGAATACCTAAATGTATGAGCTTGGCTGTGTTCCAGTAAAACTTTATTGGAATTTGAATTTCATATAATTTTCACATATTATGAAATATTCTTCTTTTGATTTTTTTTTTTAACAATTCTGAAGTGCAAAACCCATTTTTAGCTCACTGGCCATGCAAAAGTATCTAGTGGACCAGATTTGCCTTCGGGCCATGGTTTGCCAGCCTCTGGCTTTGGATATCTATCATGTTCTACCTACCGGGGCTGTGAAGTACTGTGTGACATCTCACCAATAAGTCTGGAACTCAAAACTCAGATTTCTCCAGCTGAGACCAACAAAGGAATCTGATCGTCTTATCCTCATTCAGCAGGAAAGCCGAAAAAGCATCCTATTTTATCAACAATTTCATTGGAACTAAGATTTCCCTTTCCAAATAACATAAATATTTCTTTTTCCTCTTATTCCGCCCCCCCCCCAATCACCCTGAAAGATCTTCTGCTCACATATACATATGGCATATCTTTCTTAACTCTTTTGTCAAAGAAGGTAGGGATATGTGTGGATATAAGGTTTACATACATTATTACATAAATATATATACGCACATATACACGTGTCATGTATATAGCATCGATGCAATAAAAGTGATAGCACGTGGTAAGCACTCAGCAAATGTTTGCTACATCCCTTGCACGAATGATTATTCCTTCTTTGTGACAACCCAGTGAGTCCTGTGCTTCTCCCTGTTGCAGACTCGCAGCGAAGCCGCCATGACCGTCCTGAGTGGCCATGTGGTGGTCTGCATCTTTGGTGATGTCAGCTCAGCCCTGATTGGCCTCCGGAACTTGGTGATGCCACTCCGTGCCAGCAACTTCCATTACCACGAGCTCAAACACATTGTGTTCGTCGGCTCCATTGAGTACCTCAAGCGGGAATGGGAGACGCTTCATAACTTCCCCAAAGTGTCCATATTGCCTGTAAGTCCAAGGTCACATTATTGATGCTTTTTTCCCTCTTCTTTTCATTTACAAAACAAAATCCCAGGTGGACGTAATAGTTGCAGCTTTGATCATGCCTCTGCTTCTTCATCTGGGTATGGGCCTGAGGACTCAGCCCTTCCCCTATGCTCTGTCAAGGAAAATCCAAACCCTGGGAGACCTTATTAAAAGGAATTTACAGCCAGGTTCCATCCCTCATCAGGGATGAAGTTCAGCTTGTACAAATGTATTAACCATAGAGTTCCAGTGTCTAAACACTCTTTCCTTGCCTACATAAAACCTAGAGCATTGCAATATTATGATATTTATTATAAGAATTTACTTACAGAAATTATAGAACTATTTGTAGCATTTTACTTATGGTATTATTAATACTTGGGGAAGCCTTGGTCTGTACCACCTTCTGTTTTTGAGTAAATATATGCAAATAACAAAGTTTTTTCTTTCTGCTGTATAGAAGGGATTGGCCAACGCTTCCACCCCATTCATTTAGAAGCTTAGCTCAGCTTTCATGGTTGTGTGTGTGTATTTGTCTGTGTCTGCACATGTATGCACGTGATATTCTTGATTGCAAAACACCAGGACCCCAACCTAGTAGGAATAGTTTGGGACTCCACCATTTAGTGTAAGGATATGGGATACGTGCTCTGAGAGACATGTAACTGACTACTTCCTAATCATAATCATATATTTTCTACAAACAAAAAATTATAGAGTATCGTGCATTTCAACATTTGATGTAATTGTCCGTGTCAGAAAGTTCATGCAAATATAACTTATCCTTCAAACATTTTTTTTTTTTTTTTGGAAATTCATATCCCTAAATCTTGACATGGATTTCTCTACATGTCAGGAGGCCTGGATTTTTCCCTACTTGTGGAGTTAAATTCCATGATTTCTGTTATCAGTTTCCAGAATCTCAGAATTGGGGGAAAAAAAGAGCCAAATAATGTAATTCATTAAAAAACACTTAAGAATCTATCCACATATAGTACCCATTAATAGCCACCATTTGTCTTTATATGACTGGCAAAATAGGTATTCAGAGTGAGAAAAATATCAAACAGATCTCTTTTGGATGCAGGTCCAAAACCCCACTGCTTTAGTGAACACAAGTAGTTTAAAATAGTCACCTATAGGGCCGGCCTGGTGGCGCACTCGGTAGAGTGCGGCGCTTGGGAGCGCGGCGGGGCTCCCACCAAGGGGTCAGATCCCATATAGAGACCGGTCCGCTCACTGGTTGAGCACAGTGTGGGCGCGACACCGAGGGTTGCGATCCCGTTACCGGTCATGAAAAAAGACAAAAAGGAAAAATAAAATAAAATAAAATAGCCACCTATAGAAAAACAAATAGTCATGCATGTAGAAGAGTAGAAACATATATATACTTCATTGATACCTGAAATATGGTAGATTTGATTATATATTTCCATAATTATCTTCCTTCCTGTGCTCTTCCACATGGCCCCCTGACCTCTATCTTTGTAAAGAGCTTATTATTTTGCTGGGATACATGTGTCGTGTGTGTGTGTGTGTGTGTGTGTGTGTGTGTGTGTGTGTGTGTGTGTGTGTTTCCTTCTGCCTGCCCATGTACATATTCACTCACCTGCATTCATATGTATGAATGAGCTCTCTCATATTTTCAGGCTTTTTCAAATCCTCCAAAACTTAGTATTTTCAAGCACAACAGATTTGCACAAATGGGCCTTTGCTTGTGTCTTCATATATTTCATTGTTTAAACAGCACCCTACATATAAGGCCAATCCAGAGAAATGCAAGAGCTTTCTATGTATGTCATTTGTATTTCTTGTGGTTTGAAATCCTATGTATACAACTGCACAGGGATTGTCTTATAACACAATTACTGCTGGATTCCCTGCAAGGTGAAAATTGAAAGAATATGTATGTAGGCAATTGAACCTTATGTACTGGCCACATGATTCAGGAAGTTGGTCAGACATTCTGTTGCAAGAGATCGCAGGAAAAGAGGGCATTCTTCTCTCAAAAGATACTTCTTCAGAGCCTGGAACCTAGTAGCTTTCCAGCACCCATATCAGTAAATGCTCCTTCCTCCACAGCTGCAGCAATATTTTGGGGGTGGAAGTTAGAATCATGACTGCCACTGAGTCATAAAAGAGGGTCGATGGGCTCGATCTCTGCAGCTGAGTCCCATCTTTTCAGAGTCACTTTTCTAGGAAGGGGGACCAGAGGAAGACATCTAGATATGTATATGGCAGTGGGCAAACCTTCGCCCTACACAGTCAGTGAGCTGAGGGCAACTCGGGTCTTCATGCAGGCAAAGCAGAAGCTAGATTCAGGCCAGAGGACCGGGGAGGCTGGATGGGAACCCCGCAGTGCTGCTGCATGGCCCCTGCGGAGCTCTGGCATGGGAGGGCCTGATTAGTTTTGCTGTGGCTCCTCCTTAGGACGCAGGGCATGCAGAGGTCACAGCCTCTCCTTCAGCACTAACCCTTCCATTTTACCTACAGTTGCATTCCCACATTCTTTGTCATTACCTCCTTCCATCTGGGGGTTTTCCACTGTTTTTTTTTTTTTTCCTTGTTATTATGTCATTAAAAAAATATGTTGACTGGTTTATTTATTTTTAATTGTACCAGTAATATACACATATGTTCTTGTTATAAAATTTTCAAACAATACACAACTATATGAAATCAATAGCAAACTTCCCTTTTCATCCTCTCAATTCCCCTCCCCAGAGATAATTATTGTTATTAGCTTAGTGTGTATTTTTCCTGTGCTTTCTGTCTGAATTTATATGCCTTTATAAATGTATAGTTTCATTGTGTGTTTTTATTAATATAAATGAAACTATACTTTTTGAACGGTTCTAGAAATTTTTTCACCTCCCCTCTCTCTTGGAGATCCTTCCAAGTTGATGGCCACATGGAGAACTAGCTCAGTCTCTTAACCCGCTGCATACTCTTCTATTGTGTATATGTCCGATAGTATGTTGAGCCATTCCTATGCTGTTGGGCAATTAGGCAATTTCCCTGTTTTTTTTTTTTTTCTTGCTGAAAATATGCAATAAAATTATATGAAGTGAAGCTTTACTCCTTTGCATCCCCCCTTTGAAGATGCACATTACTTCCACTTCCTTCCCTAGCCTCCAAATTGAGCAGAGCCTTCAGCCCCCTCATCACTCCGTGGGCACCGGCGACTTCCCCTTGGCTGCACTGGAAATTCTTGTTGGAACTGCTGTCTTTCGCCTGAGACAGAAGTGACCTGCTATTAAATAAACACGCATTTACAATCCACCCCCTCGTTACATTCTGAAAGCCAGAGGTTGCCACAGGACAGTTACTTAAATCAAGACAATTTCCAGGCAGGAAGAAGATGTAAAACCCTGGCATTATTCCTCCACTGCGTTTGTTAGTAATAGGTTGATTGAGTATTGAGAGCAAGCCTAAAATGCTGCCATCAGCACCGACTACCCTTTACATTAGCACATAGCTCCTATTCCCTTGAACGTAGTTAGGCCAGCTTAATGTCAAGGCATAAAAAAGATACTTGTTAAATAATTTCCCAGAGCTCCTGCTCAATCTTTAATTTGTTTTTATTTTTTTCCTCTTTCCCTCTCCTCTCTTGGTCTCACTTTTACTTTCTCTCTCTCTCTCTCTTTTTCTTTCCTCTATGCCAAAGGGTACGCCATTAAGTCGGGCTGATTTAAGGGCTGTCAACATCAACCTCTGTGACATGTGCGTTATCCTGTCAGCCAATCAGAATAATATTGATGATACTTCGCTGCAGGACAAGGAATGCATCTTGGCGTCACTCAACATCAAATCTATGCAGTTTGATGACAGCATCGGGGTCTTGCAGGCTAATTCCCAAGGTAAGGACAGCCTGTAATACTTCTTTGCTGTGCCTACAGGGGACAGGGGCTGGCAAGAGGGATATCCTTCACTCAGTAATTCAAAGAGGCTCACATCAGCCTGCCTGGCAGAGAAGCCTGCGGTCACCGTGGTGGCTTTCAAAGGGGCATCTGCTTCCTCTTCTTTCCATCCCAGGACACAGGCTTGAGACCCAATCACCCCCACACAGATTAGGTTGCCTTCTCAGAATAAATAAGCCCTTAAGTGGCTACCCCTCAGTCTTCCCAACCACTGGCTTTATGACCAGGGTCATCAGCCAAGTGTCAGAACCCTGAACAGATGCTGGCTGCACAATTCCTAATGTTTTCCCCCAGTGTATGTTTTTGCCATTGAGCTGGGATGAGAATGTTAAGCTTTGCCAGTGTTAGAGCTGGGTCTAAGACTCTGCTGACCAAGGGATGATGATCTCTGGAATGTGGGGACTATTTGGACACTAAAAGTCATTGAAGAAGAGGTAACGCTTAGCCCATGCATTTTCCTACAGAAGGCACAACAGCCTTACATGACACACATCTGCCTTTCTGCTCTGCCCCCAGTCTACCCCGTCATTCGCTCTGGGCTCCTGGGCAGGTGGTTACAAGTAAAGACGTCATCTGGGAGTCTCAGAGAGGCAGCACAGCAAAAACCCTGTAACAAACAACCTCAGTAATCAGGATCTGGCAGGAGAGAATGGGAAGCATTTTCCTCTGAGCGACACCTCTGTGTAGGCTTGCCACGATCTTTAGGATCTTGTCATATACTGGATGGGGAGCATTGGCTGCCTGATGGGGGCCTGAACTCCATTGTTCCAGGATAGAAGATTGAAGGATCACAGCCCATGAGAACTATAGCTACTGGGATATGAAGCACCACCTTATTGACAGCTGGGCAAGTGTCTCCCCCCCACCACCAGATGCAGGGCCTTCTGGAAGCTCAGCTCGATCATGCAGCCTAGATAGCTACACTATCTTTTGTCAATGTGGCATCACCACCACCTCCTTCTAACATCTAATCAGCATTGCAGCAAAGCCAGGAACAATAGTTTCTAGAATCCTCTTTCCTGCATCGTTCTGGGCAGAATGGGCCAGCGAGAGAAGGGCACTAGGGTGAAGTTTGGAAAGTGGAAGAGACAGATGCTTTGATTCTTTGGAGGCAGCTGCAGTCAGCCCCTGAGCAGACTCCAGGTTCAAAGTAGATCTCGGGGGAGCTTCCTGAGAGCCAATGTCTTTGCTGCTGTGGACAGAGACAGGGATTTGGGGTTTTCCTGAGGGTCTTAAGATTCATAGCAACCTCTGGTCAAGCTCTGAAGAACATTCCACTTTGGTGTTGCATGTGACATGGCTTCTGTCCTACTGACACAACCCTGATACAGCCTGAAGCCTAATTTTGACCACTCCACTCCACTATCTTCCCTACAACCCCCAAATCTAAATCTTGGAATCCATTTGCTCAGCTGTGCCCACCAGAGAGAACAACATGTCAAGGCCCTGAGAGAGGCCCTGAGCTCTTCCTGCCAGCTGTGCACTGAGGGTGCAGAGCCTGCCTCCTGGACGGCCTGCCCAGGCAGCACAGGTGAGAGAGGATGCTAGAAGACAGCAAGCTAACCTGCTAGGAGGTGGAAGAGGCAAGCTGGCATCTGGTCCCTGCCTCTAAGCCCTTGCTCTTCTATATGTTCTCGCTGCCCTTGCCCTGGTATGGGCATCACCTGGGGGAGATTGTTAGAAATGCAGAATGGCATGGCCCACCCCAAACCCAGGGGTCAGAATCTGCATTCTAACAATGTCCCCAGGTGACACGTATGTGCTGCATTAAGGCACAATAAATCCTTCACTGACAAAACCGGTGTGGTGAACACGCTGACCAACCCGGCTAGATGTGTCTCCTGTCCTGAGAGGAACCAGCAAGGGGAATGGAAAGAAGTGGAAGCCCAAGTTCTCCTTTGGGGGGAGAGGGAAGCAGGCAGGAGGGCGCAGGAAAACACTGCCTTTCCCCAGCACGCCTGTTTCTTTCTTATTCAATCATTGTGAAGTCCATAGATCAGAATCTCAATGTATAATTGAATTACATATGCATGTGACATAGGTGTCCCTTCTAGCTCTCTCAGGCCTTATCCAAGCCTGTCAGATCCAATATAATGGCCTAACTGATAAAAATGCTTCCCTTCCCCAGTGCTCAAAAGCCTTCTTTATTCTTTTTAGCACAGGAATAAGCAAGAAAAATAGGTTTTGGCCGGAGATATGGAGGTAGGAGAAAGGACACTCATTTTTCCTGCAAAGAAAAAAAGAAGGGCACTCTCTTTTTTTTTGTATACACACATGCACACACTGCTGTGGTCTGAATGTCTATGTCCCCTCAAATTGATATATTGAAATCCTAATCCCCAAAGTGAAAGTGTTAGGAAGTGAGGCCTTTGGTATGTGATTAGATCACAAGTGGGGAGCCCCCATGAATGGATTAATGCCTTTATAAAAGAGGCCTGAGAGAGACCCTCTCACCCCTCCACCATGTGAGGACACAGAGCAAAAGCTCTCACCGGACACCGAATCTGCTAGTGCCTTGATCTTGGACTTCCCAGTCTCCAGAAGTGTAAGAAATAAGTTTCTGTCACCCATAAGCCACCCAGTTTACAATATTTGTTCTAGTGGCCTGAACGGACTAGACCACACACACAACAAAAGAAGGCACAGGACGTGTTTATGTTCCCAGTGGCGATTTTCACGGGGTCCCGGGGAGTGTGGAGCAGAGCATGTGCCTCCCAGTAGCTGCAGTCCGTCTTGCTCTCAAGGACAAAATGTTTAGGCTGTAGCCCACCAAGCCCTGTTTCCCTTATTTTCTTACCCTGCCTGCTCCTCTGTGGTTCTAGGTTTCTAGCACTGTCCTCTGGTGGCATTCTGACCTTCCAAAGGCAGTGGTCAGTGGCAGCCATCAACACCAAGAAGTCACTTTCTCCCTAGTGCTCACCTTGGGCTGCTGACCCCGTTCCCCACTCCTTGGATTCCTCCTAGCCCCTGGGGCCAGATAAATGAGCTGAGGTTTTTTTTTTTTTAAATGCTTTTCCTCTTTGAGACCCTTTTGAGTACCCATTGGCATCAGATACTTTTGTTATCTTTCATCTGAGCATTTGGCATGACCAAGCTCCAAGAGGGTCAGAATTACAAGGAACAGAAAGGATTTCATGTCACTCTTACCGTTTTGGGAAACAATTCAACTTCCTCTGAGTGATAGCTACATAGATTTCTTGCTGCCGCCACCGCAGCTTTCATTACTATGTATTTTTTAGTCCTTCATGAAACTCCATCTTTGGCTTTACCTGGAAAGCTGTGTTATTATCTCTCCAGAACCCAGTTGGACAGAAACGGGGACCCAGGACAAATGTTGTGTTCTTGGGCCAGACTATTCGTGCAACCTTATGGAAAGTTTTTCTAACATGATACAATTTAACCTGAAAAATGTGACTTACCATTGAGAAAGTAGAGCCTTCATTGGACACTGGCCACCACATGTTGTCAGGTCTCCTAGACTAGCAAAACCTCTCTCTTCTCTTCTCTTCTTTTCACATTCCCTTTTGGTGTCATTTTTCTAGCCCACATGGTGTCAGAGCCCACCTAGCCTAGGGATTCTGGGCCAGACACTTTCTAAAAAGATCTGAGATGTGATGGCTGGTTGTCAAGAACAATTACAGAAAAAGGTGGCATCCCCTGTGCTGGATGGCATATTCGATGTGACAGTTGGGTCTATGAGATGCAGTTTTAATATACAGCAGGCAAAACTGCAGTGACAATTATATAAAGCAGGTGAAGCCGCTTCTTGCTGGTCAGCAAACATCAGCTCAGAACCACTTTACAGCTCTTTACCAGCAACTAAGTGCCTTTATTTACAGAGCGCCTGTCACTTCCCTTTGGCTGGAGAGCTGGTGTATTATTTAGCACGCATTTATCTGGGGAAAACATTTCAATTTAAATCAGCTGGTACAACAGTGGCTTTTGCCAGACTGTTTCCCTGTGGTTCTAAAACACAAGAGCTGAGTCTGATCTTCGAAGGGAGGGTTAGCAGAGGGAGGAAGGGTCCGTTCTCAGAGAGCTGCTTGAGTCAGTACCTGAAAAAGAGGGAGCATGTGATGGTCTTCCATTCTGCTTTCATAGCAAGTTATGAAATGAGCATCTTCCAGTTTCTTCCTGCTTAACCTTCTAGTAGGGGGAGCTCTTAAGGGAAAGAAAGAAGAAGAAATAGGTGTTGGGTGATGTCTATACAACAGGTGCTATAAAGGCCCAGCACACAAAGGTGACTTGAATTCAGCCACTCACTGTGCATGAGGGGCTCAGAAGTGGACAAGGTGACCCCATCAGCAATTACAGCACCTGAGACAAGGATCAGGCTTGAAACAGGAGCACAGAGGACTTCTCATTGTGTGTATCTCGAAGAGTTGAGAAGGCTTCCAGGGAGAGGTGACATCTGTGCATCACTTGAATATGTGTGGCTTTTGAGCACTTGAAATGTGGCTAAGTTTGACTAAGGAACTGAAGTTTTCCTTTTTTTAAATTTTAATAAATTTAAATAGTGACATGTGGCTAATAGCTACCATATTGGACAGCACAGGCCTAGAGCATATATTTGTTGCCTTGCTAAGGGTTTGGATTCGGGGGAGCCATCAAAGATCTATAGGAAAAGGGTGATTAAATTCCTCTTTGAAAATGGTAATGGGCAAAAATGGGAGCTTGGTTTAGAGGTGGGAAGAGATGGAGGCACGTGCTGTGTCAGAAGGCTACTCAGTGGACTAGAAGGACAGGATGAGGATGGGACAGTGCAGCCTTAGTGATGTCAGCGGGGAGGGTGGGACAGAAATTGAGGTGGACTTGAAGCGTAGAAGAGATAGCAACTGAGGGCCAGGTGGGTGGAAAGGAGGTGTGGACGGAGCAAGAATGAGGGGTTGGGAATGCGTCTTGAGTCTGGCTGCTGGGTAGATGTAGAAGCAGGTAAGTAA